CAAGAGGTAGCCTCTGGCTGTGCCATCATTACTGAGCCCCTGCCCAGCTCCTGAGCAGTAAGGCTGGTCAGCTGAATGGTGGTAGCATCTATCAGCTGGGTCTCCACAGAAAGTTCCCTGTGAGCCCATGGCCTTCATTCCTTGGGTGAGATACACAGAGTCTGGGGTATCCCATGGTTCAGGGCCTGACCACCTCTCCTGTCACAGCTCTGCCTCTGTGCCTGGCCATGGAGGCCACTGCCCTCATTTGTCCACTACAGGAGGCAGGGACTTGGGGATAGTGGTGCCATGTGAGGGTCCCTCAGGGTCCTTGTCCCTGGCAGAGACCTCAAGGTGACTCATGTTTATCTCTGGCAGTTTGGCAGTGGCTTGGTCTCATCTGATGGACAGGAGCCCCTGCAGGAGTCAGGCCAGGCTATGGCCATAGCTTTTCTTATGGCTCTTCCCTCCCCTCTCTCTTGATTTCTATTTTCTTTGAGATTTCCTTTGTTGTTGGCACAGGACCTATGGATATGTGTGTCTGAGATAAGACTTCACAAGGCAGCAGCACAGACAAAAAAAAAGATGCGATGGGTACAGAGTGCAGCACAGAGAGGACTGGCCTGGCCATGGTTTTGTGTGTGGATCTGGATTTGAGATGCCTCCTCTGATCTGGAGGCCATGAGTGTAGCATTTTCCAGACAGCCATTTGGGTTCTTGTGCCACCCTCCATGTGGAGTGTGCAAAACATCACACTGGAACTTGCACAAGGAGTGACAAGGAGAGAGCAAGTGCCTCAGTAGTCCAGTGGGGTCTCCCTTGTTTGTCACTGCCATCCCCTCTTATGGCAAACATCCAGCCATGAGCCCTGGGCTGGGGCTGCTGTGGGTGGAGGCTCCAATGGGACCAGAAGAAGTGGCCATGGGGCACACCTGAGTCTCTGCCCAAGGTTGGAAGCCGCATTTAGATGTGGCTTTTGTTGTGATTCATTTGTGGTGAGGTCAGTGTGTGGGGAAGTGACCACCCCTAGAAAGAGAGCTGTCACTTACAGTTCCCAGGACTGTGAAGAAACCATGGGTGCTGGGAGGCCAAAGTGGGGGCACTGAGCCATTTCTTCACTGAGACTCTGGGGAGGGTCAGCAAGGCAGGGTCAATGGCCTGCACTAGGCAGGTTGTGTAGCTCCAGGCCTCTGTGGTCCCCCTGATGTGGAGACTCAGGTGGCATAAAGTGGTCTCCACAACCGCTCCCGGGGAGGGGCACATGCCCACTTCATGAGTGCTCACAGCTGAGGTGGCCCCAGGCCCACTGTCAGAACCCTGAGATGTGAGGCTGAGTCAGAGCTGAGACTGGTGGTAAAGCAGAGCTGGAGCCCACTCTCAGATCTCAGGCCCAGTGGAGACCTGGCTTCTCACCGAGAACTCAGTTGCAGTGGTGGCTCATGCTCATGTCCTGCTGAGAGCATGGGCACTGGCTTTAAAGGACACAGTGGGCAGTCAGCCAGCCCATGTAAGGTTGTGTTTCAGAGGCAGCTCCTGAGGGTGCCAGGCAGGGTCATAGTCACTGCAGGACACAGGTGAGGACAGGGCAGTTGCAAGACATAGGGAGGGGAAGGTGGGTGGGTGGGCACTCAGAAACAGAACTGAACACTGAAATGCCTCTTATGGCTATGCAGAGGGATTACCAGAGGAGTTTCAACCTACTGGTTACAGGGGGTGCCTTTGTTTTGCCATGGGCACTCCTGAGGGCCCCCCTACCTTGACCCTTTCTGACCCTTCAGGAAGTCAGCAGAGCCTACCTGACCCTGTCCTGCCTATGCTGTGACTGAAGTGCATGTGATCCAAACACCTCGTCCTGCTGCTTGGCCAACCAGAGCAGAGCCCTCAGTGTGAGGGACAGGAGGATCTGGGGCTACCGCTGGTGGCTGGGCCTACAGAGCCATGTGGCAGCGCCAATATGCTCCTGGGCCCGGCAGAGCTGTCAGAGTCTGCTGGGGATGGATGCAGGTTGCTTTTGTTTCCTATGCATTCCATGAAAATGTGTTATTTCACCTTCATGTTTGAAGGGAGTTTTCACTGGCTTCAGACTTCTGGGTTGGGCATTTTCCTTTCACCCTATCCAGAATGTCATTCATATGTATCAGGCTTGTGTTCTTAAGAGATGCTCGATGTGGGTCTGGGCCTCCCGTTTTAAGAAGCTCTCAGCTGGCGATGTCAGTCTCTGCCCCGGCTGCCTCTCCCAGGCCTCCTGATCCTTGTCAGCACATAGACTGTGAGATCCCATTGTGGTGAGTTCTGTTTGTTCTTGGGATTTCCTGGGCTTTGTGAATCTCTAAGCTGATATTCCTCACCAAATCTGGGACATGCTAGACTGTTTCAGGGTCCACTTCCTCCTTTCAGGGACTGAGGCCATGCAGGCTTCTTCTGCCCTAGATTCGGGGAGCTGTAGCTCTGCCCCTTTCCCCCTTCATCCTTCACTGCCGCACCATGTGTTTTGCACTCTTCCTCCCAGAGTTTCCACGCACTTCTCTGCTGAGTGCCCACATCTCTGCCATGCTCGCCACGTACCCCCTTCCTACCCATACCTGGACCAGCGCTGCCTGTCAGCTCATTCCCCTTCTGGCTGCCTGTGTCCTGGCACTGTCCCTGTGCCTGCAGGTCCCTAGGCTGAGGTTCCTTCCTATACAGTTTCCAGCCAAGTTTCTGGATACCCTTTGGTCCTCTCAGGCTACATGTTTTTCTTTTGTACTGTTTTACTCTTAGGAATTGGGACTTGAGCTTAGGACCATTGCCCTGAGCTACATCCCCAGCCCATTTTTAAATTAGAAAAAATTTTTATTTAGAGACAGGATTTCACTAAGTGGCCCATAAATGGGGCTCAAATTTGTAGTCTTCCTGCCTCAGCCTACTAGACTGCTGATATTACAGGCACACCCAGCTACAATGGGTAGTTATGGGCACTGTGTGAGGTAGTAGCCTTCCTCAAAGATGTAGCCTTTTCGGTCCTCAGCAATGGCCCCTGGGCCTTGCTGGTCTTTGTACGGTGGCAGATGGGAGCTGGAGCTCCACCACTGGCTGCTCAGCTTGGCCTTATGCTGCTTGCAGCATCCCTGCAGCTCCCATGGAAGCCTATTCACAGGCTCCTGGGCACCTTCCATTTCAGCCACCCTGCCCACCTCTGACCCCTCACTGCTCACTCTAGGCAGAGCCTGCTCAGACTCAGGGTCGGGCTCACCTCTCCTAGCCACTTCCTGGTGGCTCACAGTCTGGAAATTGCTCCCATTTGTGCCACCCGGGTACCAGCTGTCTGAAGTGAGGAGGACTATGACACCTGAAACATCACATGGGTGAAACCAACAGAATGGGACTGAGTTCCTGCTCCACACAAGAGCCAGACCAAAGTCACCGTGAACAAACACTGTGGGCTCCTTTCTCCCACCTGCGCCAAAGCCCCTATGCCCACCCACCTGCCCTGGAATACCCCTGCCTCTGTGTGATGCCCATTAGCCCACCCCAGGGCCACTACTGTCCTCCATGTAACATGTGCCCAGCCCCACTGCTAAGGGAAACCCTCAAGGCAGCAGCTAATGTGCAGACCCTTCTGTTGTGTCTTCTTCAACTATAAAGCGATCCATTAGCAGTGTCAGGTGCATGAAAAGGCAGAAAGCAGGTGAAGAGCAGAGAGGTGCCTGGATCCTGGGCCATACTGAAATGTGCTTGAAGACACATCCCTGTCTCACCTGGAAAGGGGCTGGTAGGCATTGTGGAAGAGAGAAGGGCCCAGGGGTGGTGATGACCTTTCCACCATTCAGTCAAATACAGCTTGGATGGAGAGGGGCTCTGAAGATTGTCCTCTTTTTGCTTCACATTAAGTGTTCTTCCTTCCCTCCTACCTGAATGCAGTGTGGACAGCTGGAGCCATCAGTATAGTCAGTTTTCCTGTTGCTGGGCAAACACCACAAACTACAATTTGAAGGGAGAGAGGCTTATGTGGCTCATGGTTTCAGAGATTTGAGTCCATGGTTTGCTGGATCCAAGGCAGAAGTGTTATGTGGAAGGGCATGTGGAACAAAGTTGTCTGCTTGGGGGTGGCAGGAAAGCAGAGCCTAAGGGAAGAGGCTGGTTTGGAAGATACACCCTCCCAAGGCCCCAGTGGCCTTCTCCTCCTGGAACCCTCCTTACAGCACCTCAACTGTGAGTGAGGAGTTTAGTGCCTCATGACTGGTCATCCATCTCTCCAGCAGGCTCCTCACCCTACCACATGGTCAGGGAAGATCTTCAATCACATCCTCCATCCTTGCCAAGGATGGAGGGTGGAGGCTTGGACATAGACAAGACACTGGCGGAGGCTCAGGATGTCCCATTGGTACTGGCCTCACATGGCCAGTTTCCAGCTCACTGCAGAGAGGGTCCCCTTGATGAGCATAATGACTTCCATGGTCCCTTAGCTGTGCCGCTGTGTGAGAGGAACTACATCCCCCTGCTGCCACGGAGGGCTGGTCTGGGTGGTTGCCTTGGGGGATGCCCCCGAGCTTCCCCTCTCTTACGGACTCTTGGGTACCACACAGGGCCAGGGATGCCATGTGTGCTCAGAACAGGTCAGCCACGTTGCCCATGGCTCCCACTAAGCTCTTCCCACTGTGGAGAAATGGCAGCTGTTCACATCCACAGTGTCACAGGCCCAGTGAGGTGTTGGATGCAAAGCTTTCCCTAGGGCCTGTGATCTGCTCTTCAGGTGAGAGGGAAGCAGCTTCTCCCAGCTGGTTCATGCCTAGTCTTGGAGGTGTTTCCCCAGAGGTCTCCCTCTGTCATTGACCAGGTCAGCGAGCTTGTCCCACTTTCTGCTTTCCCTGAGCCTGGCCATAGTACCCAGGTTTCACAGCCAACACGGTGCCATGTCTTGACTGACTGCCTCCAGCTTCTATGGAAGTTACCAGGGGAGGTCGGATGGTCTGTCATGCTCTGTAGTCCAGCTGCCCTCGTGTCCTCGTGCCACTGTGTCCTTGTGCCTTCTGTGTCCCCAGGAGTGCTTGTCCCGAGTCTCCTGAAGGACCTGAGGAGGCAGCAGACTGATGCAGAGGACAGGGCTCCCGCCGGTCTGGAAGGGATGGCAGATGTGATCGCTGCCACCGCTGAGAGGCAAGGTGAGCATCCAGCAGAAGTCTAGGCCGGCCCTGAGTGAGGGGCTGAGGGACAACCACAGGAGCTGGTGGGAGGCCAGGAAGCCATGCTCCAAGGTGACCTCACTCCTCCAGTATCTGCAGTTCAGGTGTCATGGGGCAGGGGATGAGACCGTGGCACCTTGGAGAGATGCTGCTCCCTAGACACAGCATGGTCTTTGCTGGGAAGAAGGGATTTGTATAAGTGATTTTTACCTGTTTGAACTCTTGCCTCTAAAAGCTTTCCTAACAGATTAAGTCTGCCGGAGCAGAGAGGTTGAAGGGCAGACTGCTTTCTGTACACAGCTTTTCCTCCATGCTGAGGCTTGGGATTAGGAGAGCCAGAGGGATGGAGATGGTTTCTGTTTTACTCCTACTATGAGTGGATACTGCAAGATATTTGAATAATAAAATCTGTTTGGCTGTCTGGTTCCCTGAGTTCACCCCTCCACTGCCACTCCATGCACCTGGGGCCACCACCGCCTTGCTGCAGTGCTCCTTGGGCCTCCAGGTCACAGAGTAAAACCTGTTCAGTGCTTGCACATGGTCGGCACATGAGATATGCAAGGGTTGGGGCTTGCTGGGAATGGGTATCCTGGGTATCCTGCATGGTGGCAGTGGAGAACACAGCGGAAAGCTGTGGATGCCACATGGCAATGTGCTGTGCCTGGCAGCCCCACTGTCGAGAGGGTGGCCAAATATGGGCTGGAGGGTTACAGTGGGTCACACACCCCTGGGTGTCACAGGTAGGGCATTCATTGAGAGAAACAGAGTGGTCACCAGAGTCCGGGTGGTGGAGCTGTCTTAATTGAGGCTGCTGGGTTGGACGCTTCACTTTGCATTTCCATGGTGGTACCTGGGCCTGGGATGGCAGGCTGTCTGTATGGGAGCCAACACAAAGATGATCTCAGCCCTGAGCACTAGAAGGTGAGCTCCATACCAGCTTCCTGCCTGCTCAGCTGTAACTCTCCCCTCTCCTGTTTATAAGGTGCTGTTTGGGATTGTAGATGGAAAAGTTCACTTTGTGGGTGAGACTGAGCCCTGACTGTCACACCCACCTTCAGTGTGGTTCTTTATGGTGCAAGGTCATGGTGACGCTTCTGTCTGTTACAGGGAGCAGAGCATGGGAGGATGCCAACCCAGACTCCGCTGAGGTGAGACAAAGTCCTTGGGTGCCGGGCTCATGTTCAACTATGTCATAATCCTTTTGTTCAAGGCTTAGATCAGTTGTGAAAGGCAAAGTCCACCCCAAGAAAAGTAGGAAAAAGATCTTCATAAACCCTAAACTGAGAAAAGTAGAAAGAGTACATAAAATGTATATAATCAGTACATAATAATGGTCACTTTCAGTTTATAAGCTAATTTTTATGCATTGTAAAGACATAGGAAATATGGTTAATACAAATAAAAACGCCAATATTCCCAGAATTTCCCTGCACACACTTCCCAGTCATGATGCTTCCCTGTGTGCTTGGGGGCAGGTGTATGGCATGTCCTACAGAAGCCCATAGTGATGGCCAGCACAGCAGCCTGCAGCCACATATGACTTTGTAGACCCAAATGTCAGCAAATTAAGATGGAATCCAGCAGCTCCTCAGCAGCGCTGGCCACTGGTCAAGTGCTGGTCTTCACCTGTGGCCAAGGGCAGTCCAGCCACAGCATAGGGCTATCCAGCATCAGGTGGGCCTGCTAGACATGCTGTCAGGGCAGTGGTTTGTGAAGGGCTCAGTATAGACAGTGCCACTCACCATGCATCAGCTTTGCTTGCCACTGTTAGTATGTTCATTTTTCCTATTTAGAGACTTTTCTCATTAACCAAGCCTTAAGAATGCCACAATCAGCTCACATGCAATGACAATGATATTATGTGGTTCCATAACACTGGTTTTAGAGTGGAAAAAAGATAATCATGGGTAAACCTCTCAGATTATCTTAGTGGTGTGTGGCTCAGTGCCTGTTGGCAAGGACCTGAGAACATTTTAAGCCCCATGGCGGTGCTGAATTTTCTCAGAGTGTCTGGGAAGAAGAGAACAGGAAAATGTTTCCAAATTCAAGAACAGATAGAGAGCCTCGGGCCAGTGGTCTGCAAACCACAGTTGCAGAGAGTGTCACCAGCTGGCTGGGCTCTGTCACAGGGTGGCCAGGACTCAGCACAGCTGCCTCCTCCACTCAAGGAATCCCCTACTCATTTTCACGGTTCATGGGATCTTCAGGCGGCTCTGTTAGAGCAGGTATTGGGTGTTGGAGTCTGAGCATGTACCTGTTTAGTGGCCCCTCCTGTCCTCCTTGGTGAAATCCCAGTCCTGGGAAATTAATTTCTCCTTTCTTTCAACAGCCCAAAGACATTGCTTGGTCTCTGGTCAGAAATATCAATGCTATGTACCTGTGTGATCCAGGACCTGAATATGAGCAGACATTGTCAGAGGACTATCGTTTTGTTTAAATATTCAGAAGCAGAAATAGGAAAGGCAAGGAATCACATGTTGTCTTTAGTCAAAAAGGGCTGATTGCCTTCATGGCCCTTCCTAATTTCCTAAGTAAATGTGTTTGGTAAAGTAAATCCTATAGCAAATCTGATTCCCTATTTATGGCTAAGGTAACCTTAGTGACACAATTTCAAGCTCAGGAGAACATCCCAGTGTAGGCAGAGCACTGCGCTGACTACAGAGTCAGATTCTTCAGGAAGGGGTAGAAGTGTGATTAGATGGTTCTTAAACACAGTGGGTTGCAGGCTCTCTCCTAGGTACTGTTCTGGATAGAGACAGAAAGGCTCTGCCTTCGTCCAGGGTTTTCAAGTCCCATTGTGACCCACATTGGTGACTTCATTGCACATATCCCTCCATCTCAGCTCCTGCTGTCCTCTCTATATGCTGTTTCATGGGAGTTTCCTTTCTGCCAGGTCAGTCACCTGAGTGTCCAATTTGGAGACCTCCTGCAGGACCACGGGTCCCCACTCCTGCCTGGAGAGCAATCCCTGGAGAAGTCTTTCCCAACAGAGATCAAGAAATCAGAGAAGCCTGTAGCCTCCTTGTCTTCAGAGGAAGAGGATGTAGGGGTGGAGAATGTGAAGAGCCAGACATACTCCAAAGACCTGTCAGAGAAGCCGAATGAGGAGCCCAGAGCTACTGGGCTTGGAGGGCTCCAGAGCTGGGATCCAGGGGCACTGCAGGAGGTGCAGAGCCCCCAGGAAGGAGCACAGTTCCCTCCAGGTGGAGGCCTGCAGTTGGAAGCCAGGCCTGCCAAGGGCGAGGAGCCAGGCTACATTGTGACAGGCAGCAAGTAAGTAGAGGAATCTCATCTCTTGGTGTCCCCCAACCCTGGAGGGAGGGCACCTCACAGAGGCGGGAAGCAATCTTATTTTAAATGCCTGCTGAGTTGTGGGGTCCACAATCCTAGGTGGGCAGCAACCAGGAGCCCTGAGTGCTTCCTGGTGCTTCTGACCTGGGTGTCTAACTCCAGAGTGGTGTTCTGAGTGCAGTGAACCAAGCCAGACCCTCAAGGCCCTTTCTCGTTCCCTGGTTCTAACCTAAACCTGCTAGGCTGGCACCTTTGGGGGCCAGGCAAAGGCTGGGCACAGGTGGCTCTCCTGGTAGGATTCCCAGGGAGTTAAGCTCTGTGCTGGTTCCTTGCTGTTTGAAACTGCATAAAGGGTAGGATGTGGTAGAACACACCCGTCATCCTAGCACTCTGGGAGTCTGAGGCAGGAGGATCACAAGTTCAAGCCCAGTCTGGACAGTTTAACAACCTAGTAAGACCTATTTCAAAATTAAAAAATTAAAACAGGGCTGAAAATGTAGCTCAGCATCAAGGTTTTAGGTTCACTCCTCAGTACCAGAGGGAAAATCCCTCCAAAAGTTTTGTTTCACACCCCATGCATGGCCTAAATAACGGGAACAGAGTGGCCTTTCAGAGGAAAAATGTGCCCTACCAAAGCACAGTGATTTTTCTCCTCATCTCAGTCTAAACTTATGGGAAAGGGGTCTGGATATGGTAAACCCTGTGAGTCACCATGGATCCACCCCTCAGGGCAGCTGGTGCTTTTGGAGGTGTAGTCCTAGTAGATGGTGTGTGCTGACTGTATGCTGGAGTGGATGTGGTCTAAGGTGTAGCCATGGGGTGATGCACGTCTGTGTGTGTTGACTTTATACATGCCTGTATGTGTTCAGGAGGTGTCTATGGTGTTTTGTGTGTGTGGTGTTTTGCAGTGTGTCTACGTGTGTTGTGTGTGCTATGTCCATGTGTGGTATGTGGAGTGTGTCTATCTGGTGTGTGTGTACACATGTATATGTGTGTGGTATATTGTGGTGTGTCTGTTTTGTGTGTGCACATGTGTGTGGTATATATGTGTGGTGTGGCTACATGTTGTACATGCACACATGCATGTGTATTTATGTGTGTGGTATGTGTATGTGCTGGATGTGTGGTATATATGAGTGGTTTGTCTATCTGATGTATATGTGCACATATGTGTGTGAGTGAGATGAGGGACCTGCAGGCCCTGTGTGCTGGGCAGCAGCCATGAGGGCAGAGATGGCAGTGCCCACACTGAGTAGTTATGTCCATCCTGGTTGTAGGGTGTAGTCCAGGAGACTCTGTCCATGTGTGGGGACTGGAGCTTCCCTCCTGCTGGTGCCCTCAGGGAAGAATCACTGCCTGGGCCCTTTCTCCTGGGCCAGCCCAGAAACCATCCTCAGTGCAGTCCCCCAGCCTGTCCTGTCCCCATCCACAGCACACAGCCACACTCCTGGCCAGCCCTGTCCTCAGTGCTGAGTGCTTCTCTCTGAGGGGCCTTCCTGGTCTTAAGGATGGAGCAGAAGAATGTACTGAGTTCCCTGTGACTGTCAGGGCCCTCAGGGGATCCCAGGGGTTGGAGCCAACCAGGGAAGAGCCCCTCACAGACATCTGAGGATGGGAAGGAAGTCATTGCAGGGTCACCCCCACAACAGCTCACCCGGCTTTGTGGACAGTCACAAACCAGCCTCACGGGAACACAGGATCAATGTCTCCAAGGCCACATACTATAAAGACAGCTGCTTAGATTTTTATTAAACTCAACATTTCTTTTAAATGTGGAGAAACTAATGTATTTATAGTGAGGACTACATTCTCATTTTGGTGTTGAGAAGCAGTTGTTGGCACGTGGCAGTTCCTCAGCTGCTGTAGTTGGTAGTTGTTCATAGCATCACTCACAGGAGCTGTGGGGGGGCATTGTCAGTCTCAGAGGAATTGCCTTGGGGCGCAGGTGGTCACAGGCTCCTCCCTGATGCTCCAAGACAGAAGTGGAGGAAGCAGATGCCAGGCCTATGGCTGCCCCTTCTCCATGCCCTCTTCCGTGCCCCTCTTCACTGAAGGAGCCCACAGGTTAGCCATGGTTAGGATGATGGATGAGGGGAACTGGAATAGTGGGCAATCCCAAGGAAACATCATTTCCTCCACTGCTTTCCAATATTATCTTCCAGGGTTTATATCCAAATCAAGTACTTTTTCTTTCACAGCCCATCACTGTGGTTCTCTCAGTGAAATTTCATATAGATTGTAAACTGTCCACAATTGAGCAAGTAGCATGACAGACACACAGCCCTTAAACACAGAAGATGTGAAGCAGGTCAGCAGGAGTGCCGCTCGCAGTGTGCTGTTCTCAGCTTGATCTCAGCTGCCCTGGAGGTAAGAGACGGTGGCATTGCTGTGTGAGGAGCCGTAGAGATGAGATGCATGATGGAGTGATTGTAGGTAAAGCTTTGTGCCACAGGAGGCACATGAGAGGCTGCAGGTCCATGTCACCCCTCCTTATGAAACCTGCCCTAAGTGTAAGCCTCCTGGTGACCTGCCTGGTTGGGTTCTTTCTTGGAGGTTTCCTGGTGAAAGAATCCTGGTCTAGGAGTACAATTTCTCCAGTCTCAGTCTCCCTTTCTTTAAAATGAGGCATGGTGGTGCTCACCTGTAATCCCAGCTGCTGGAGACAGAGGCCAAGGACTTGAGCCCAGGAGTCAGGGCTAGCCTGGACAACATAGCAAGAGGCCATCTTTTAAAATAAATAAAACTAAGTAAGTGAGTCAGCAATGGTGCTTTCCATGCAGGTGTTATGAGTAGCCTGAGGGAGCCTTCCAGCAGTTCTCTCTGCTCTTGATACTTCTGACCCTCTGTTACACTCCCTGCTCTCCACACGCTCCTTCTCACTGCACGTACAGCAGGGTTCTTAGTCCAGATGCCATGTGGACATCCACACTGCAGCCTTGGTGTCATGGAAAGGAGGGTATCATCTCCCACTGTAAAATTCCTAATAAATGGATGATTACTGACCCTTTAGATTCTCACTATTTTGTTTATTTAGTAGATCCTGGGAGCATCCTTGTTCAAAAATCTTGAACAGCAGCATGAAAACATCCCAGTGCCCTTTCCTCCTTAGAACTGAAATGCATTAGAGAGGAGATGCCTTCTTTAGTTCTGAGACTCTTTGTTGCTCACTGTCCAAGGTCCCCAGGCCTTACAGCTCAGATCCTGGTCCACAAGAACTCAGCGCCTGCTGTCCAGGGGCATCACAATGATCAGGGGGCAGGGTGACAGCTGCCACACATAGATAGGTAGAACTGTATGTGCTGAGTCCTCCCACTGATTTTTGAGATTAACTCTAACTGCTTCCTACAGAAATTCAGCAGTACAGGCAACAGCATGCATTTGAAATGAAATGAAGTGGTGATGAGTGCATGCTCCTTTGAGCACCCCACTGTGCCCCACTGTGGTCCTTATGCACCTGCTTTCCCTGCTGGCACCCTTAACAAGCAGCCACAGGGACTGGAAGGGACTGACTATCCCACTGCATGGCTGGGGTAGTCGGAGATGTCCTGCCTGTAGGGCATGAAATGATCCTGGCTGCAGAAGCCACGGTGACCCTCGAGGCTACCTTAACTGATCTTGCTGTGGTGATATTTATTTCCTTTGTGGGGTCTGGAGAGTCCTGGGACTGGTGGGGCTGGGTCCATGATGATGCCATGTTCTGTTTGGCCCCACCACCCTCTGGTGGAAAACTGCTGGGTGGTATTTGTGATTCTGAGGGCTGTGTGCACCTGGGGAGTGTCTTGGTGAGTATGAGGTGTCTGTGTGTATATCTGGTAGGTGTCTTGGTGTGCAAGAGATACGTTCACACCTGGAGAGTGTTTTCATACATGTGGAGGTGTTCGTGCACATGTGGGGAGTGTGTTGGTGCACCTGGAGTATGTGTGCACCAGGGGAGTGTTGGGTACATATGCAGGTGTCTGTATGCCTGGTAAATGTCTTGGTGTTCATGGAGGTGTGTGCACACATGAAACATCTGAAAGAAACTGGCCCCTGACAAAGATCACTCCGCACCCCGACAGAGTTCATATGAGAGATATTATTGTAGAGCCGCTGTGGCACGGTGGCCTCCTCGGTGAAGGGAGAAGAAAAGGAGAGAGAGCTGGATGGAAGGGGCTTGGTTACATAGTGGATGGCTGGTGCAGGCGGGTCCGGGATTGTGTCATCTGCACGAGCAGCCACTCAAGGGTCATTATTTGTGATCCATTCCTTATACGGACAAGTCTTGCTCATGCGTCAGTTTTATTTACAACTGGTGACAAATGATGTAGAAAATGGAAACTTAACGTGAAGAAGGAAGTTATTTATCAGAATGGCAGCAGCCATTCTGAGGCACTTATCTTAGAGCATCCTCATCGGATGTGCAGCTATGTGTGATCCTGAAGAGAACAGGCATGAGACCCAGAGGCCAAAGTCCTGGCGGAGTAAGCTCAGCCCCAGCCAAAACATGTGCCCATGCAGCGCATTTCCCCCATGGGGCCTGCTCCTACCACTGTGGTCTCACGGCTGTGCACCTCTCATCCCTGTGATTAGCATTTGTGAGTGAAGGAGGGGGTTGAGTCCATGGTGAGTTTTTCCTGGGTCCTTATGTTGGTCACAGTCATGCGCCACAGCTGGGCTACAGCTGTGTCCTGGTGGAGTATGACTGTTGGGCCCCTGTCCCAGGGGGTCCCCTCTGTTCTAGAGAAGCCTGCAGGTCCCCATCTTACCTATTCACATCCTGGCCAGGCTCACTCTGACCTCCTGACTGCCACCCTCCATGCCTGCCATTCCAAGGTCTGGTGTTGTGCCAATGTCAGATGTGGCCTCCCTGGGAAAACATTACCTCACCACCTAGGACAAGTCCTACTCACCCATGCTCCCACTCTCCCCGACCCTGTTACCAGCTGATGTGCATTTCAGCTTTTTCTGATCTCCTGACAAGACACCAAGCTGGGTAGCCAATATCAGTTTGCATCCTTTCCTAGAGGCATGAAGTCCAGGATCAAGGAGTTGACTGGCCTAAGGGAGCCTGTCCCAGGCCATCTGCAACTACCGGTGATGTAGATGACCTTGGCATTTGGGTGGTTTTCTCTCTGTCTCCTCACAGTGTCCCCCACTATACCTACCTGGGTCTCCCCTTTGACAGGGCCTCGCTAGTGACAGCACCTTGACTATATAAGCCCATGTGACCTGTTTGCAGAGAAGTTCATGCTCTCTGGGCTTCAGACGTCAACAGATGAGTCTCTGGGTGACAGCTCAACTCTAACAATAGGACTGTGAAAGTCTGTGGCCTGTCTTTCCCAAACAAGCCCATGTCCCATGAAGGCAGAGCCCAGTCTCTCCTGTCTGTGTCTGCACTCCTTCCTTGGCGTTTGCTGAGTGAGGGAAGAAAATGCTGCTCACAGGGCTGATGGCTTTGCTGTCAGGACAACCTAAATTAGCACTTCAGTGGTGCAGCTCTGATGGGACTTCACAGGCTCTAAGGTCTGTGGAGCAGAACCCCGGAATTTAAGATTCATAACCAGAGCTCCAAGACACATGTGGTTACTGCTTGAGGCTGTCCCTGTGGCTTGGCCTTGCTGGGCTGCCATAGTCACAGTGTCTGCCTGGGACAGCTGTGCCCCTTTGATGAGGTGCTGCTGGTGGGAGTGTCCACCTCATCCCACCATTCACACTTGCACCTTTGGTGCTTAAACACCCAACTCCTGGAATTGTGACTCACCTTGGAAATGAATCCACACAAGGTAGCTGTTTCCTTCAGGCATGTGACACAGCAATCTGATTCCCAGTATCAGCTCCCGATCCTCTCCTTCTCTCTCAGTTCTTCTCCCTCACCCTCCTTATTGTATTTTTATTGAAGGCTGAGAAGAGTCATGGTGACCTCAGGGCTCATTACCCACCTAACAATCCCATTTGCACAGTATTGTCTGCTTACTGCTGGAAATGCAGGGATTCGCCTGCCTCCAGGAGAACCTGGTCCCGGTCCATGGTGACACTGCCCCTCCTCTCTCCACAGCCCCCTGAGCCCAGAGAAGGGGAAACAGCTGATGGAAGACGTCGCCCGCCTCCTGCAGGTGCCACCCAGCATCTTTGAAGACATTGAGTAAGTGCAGGGTATGAGCCTGTCCTCTAAGAGATCAGCCTGTGGGGGTGAGCTGGGCATGGGACCTTGTTAACTGTGTCTGGGAAGAACTGTAGCGGGGAAAGGAAGGGACATTGCAGTGGCTCAGCAAAGCTATGTAAATACAGCAGAAGCTGTGCTTGAGGATGTGCATTCTGACCACCTGGTTGTGGTACACTGGCCTCACACACTCTACTGCAAAGGAAGAAGGGCCTGGTACCCCTGCCAGGGATGCTCAACCAGCACCTGTACACAATGTCTCTCATTATCTTGACATCTTGCTTCCCTGGGGAAGAGCAGCCCTGACCTTGAGCCCCTGACGTGACCCAGCATGCTAGTGTCTGCCTCACAGGGGTGTGTCGGGGCGGGCAGCCCCTCTCCACTCCTGGAGCAAGCAGCACTCAAGGAATCGTGTGCATGCATGACTGGCCCAGGCTGGCAGCATGAGAGGGTTGGGTGCCCAAAACACAGACAGTGGAGCAAGGAGAGGTCAGGACTCACAAGTGGAGCAGCGGGCAAGTGCCTGTGCTCCATCCTTCACGCTGACCCTGGCATGGGATCAGTCACAGTCTTCCTCTGTGGCTGTACAGTGCCCCTGATTGAGTGCAGACTTCCAGCACAGGTGTCCTAGCCTCTTTGAGGAGTGGCCCTGGGCTGAGCCAGCCAAACCCTTCCTGAATGTCTCAGGCCTGATGTGTCCCCTGCTGCAAGGGCAGTGAACGCCACCCACTTGTGCCTTAGAGAGTCTAGCCAACTGCAGCTCCTGGCCAGTGTCCTCCCCACAGCCTGTGCCACTGTCCTGCTCAGCTTCGCCCTGCTCCTGGCCCTCATTCACTCCTCTAAAGCCCCCAGGCCTGGCCCTATGGCATCTGTGCCACCCTAGGCCTTGAGCCATTGTGTGTGTGCATGTGTGTGCTTGCATGTGGTGACAGCACTGACCTCTGAACACACTAGCTGCACCTGCACATTCCAACAATTCTGAACACTGCCCCACAGCAAAGGACATGTACTCCCCCACCCTGTCCAGGTCCTCTGCGCCCCAGGACCTGGGAGGGAGGGCCAGGTCCTCATTGTTCCTGTAGCAGGGAAGAGGGGACATGTGTGCTGGCACTGGCAGACATTGTCTGCATTTTTATGGAAGTACTAGTTATGCTTAATATGTTTTGTTAATGGTTATGTAGCTGTCAAATAAATTCCATTATTTCTTATTACATCATTAGAGACCATTAAAATGGCATTAGCATGCTGATGTAATTATGCCAGCAGACGTACAACGACCACAGTTATGATTTTACAATCTAATCGAGCTGTCCCAGGTGGGCTGATGGATGCAAGGCTGCCTCCCATGGTATGTGGTCAGGTGGGCAGTACCATGGTAAGCAATGCCAAGGAAAGATGTTGCCCAGATCCCAGAGCCACAGGGAGATGCCAGGCTTCGATTCTCCTTAAACAAACTCCGCTCCTGGGTCACCCAGCATGTCGCAGGAGGACAGCTTAATTCCACGATCAATCTCCATGGCTCTCATTTGCCAGAAACAGTTGTGTTTCTCCTCTGTGTGATTTACTGGGCTCTTATTCTTCAAGACAGCTCCGAGGATGCAGCACTGGGAATCCTCCACCCTGGCACTTACCCTCGGGCTGCTGCATGCACAGGGCTGGGGAGATGCATACGCTAGCCCTGCACCCTTCTCCCTGCCCCACCTCTCTCACAGAGCAAGTTAACCAGGGCTTTATTATCACTGGGGCCACAGAGACAACCAGAAGTGCAGCACCCTTGCTGAGAAGAACCTAAGCACAGGTGCATTGATGCAGTCAGTGCCAAGTCATGAACACAGTGTGGTTTACCAGGACCTGCCTCTGGTCACTAGGCCAAATGAGGGACATTCACAGCCCCCTACAATCCTGCTGCCATTAGTTCACTGCCCTGATTCACAGGAAGCAGGAAGGGAGGGCACCGAAAAGGAAGGAAGACAGCCCTGATGTCTGGAGTCTTCTTCCCAGAGCAGAGTGCAGGCTTCATCCTCAGCACCCTATTGGGTGCTGCAGACAACTACAAGGGGGTGATCTAATGCCAGACACAGCTACACACTGTCCTTGAAATAAGGACCATGGCAGGATGTCAGGAGAGCTTCTGTGTGTTTGTAAATAATTCCAGAGAGGTAGCTGTTGCTCTCTGCCAGAGAGGTGGCTGAAGCTCACTGAGAGCCAGGCCCTTACTTGGGTTAATAGTGCTAGCCTGTTACATGGTGGTTGAGCCCCTTCTGCAGTCTGAGACAACTTGGAGGGAATCAGTCACTTACCTTTCTAAGTCTCAGTTTCCTTTCTGCATAGTAGGGAGCCTGGATGTGGCCTAGTGTGGTCTGGGCCCCTCTCAGGAGCCCCTCACAGGAGCACACTTCACTGTCACCCTCTCTAAACCCTCATCAATCTCCATAAGGGCCCCACAGATGGCTGATGTAGGTTGGCAGATCCCCATGAGGGGTCTTCTGCTCAGAGCTTCGAGCTACACCTGGTATGGAGACACACAGCACGTGGTGGCTTGTGCAATGGCACAGCATTCTTATCGCTGTTAGGAAAAACTACTCTAACTTCTACTGCCATGAGTGGGTTTGGACTAAAGCATCCTAGTCAACTCTTTTTTTCTAGGACCTTGTCTCTTTCCTAGGCCCAGCCTAAAGCATTGCATAGAACTGGTCCATGAATTAGGGGTTCCCCGGAAGACTGTGGTTTCAGGTGATGATGTTTGACCCATGAGAGCTGAGACTTTTATTTTTTCCAGCAAGGTATAGGCTTCTTGGGGGCAGGGACTGGGCCAGCCCACCCACAAAGTGGTTCTTGGACATCTATCCAGCATCATCCATCTATCCACCCAACCACCCCTAATATCCCTCCATCTGCCTGTCTATCATTCATCATCCATCCTTCCACCCATTCACATATGTTATAAATTTCACCCAAAATTCAGGTATCAAACAGACAAAGTACATGTCAGTCTACCAGGCCGAAAAAGGAGTAAGCTAGCACACATTTTCTTAATGAAAATAGCCTATCAGAAGTTCATCTTATCTCTAAACAACATTCAAGAAAGTCCATTTATTGAAAAGAGCAGCATTGGCCGGGATCTAGCTCAGTGGTGCTGCACCTGCCTTGCAAGTGCAAGGTCCTGAGTTCGATCCCTGGTACTGGAAAAAAAGAGAGAGAGAGAGAAGAAAAGATCAGGATTTACATTTATGTTAGTTGTAAGGTATCAACATTAAACAATTAACCTTAAAATTATCCATTGTTGCCAAATATATCCTTGCTGTCTTCTTTTTATTTGAAAAATTCAAGAGAATTTTAGTACCCAAGTCTTATCTTATTTAAACTGACTACAAAGTAGTGTTTACAAGGACAACTATCAAAATTTGTGTTGTCTTCATTGTAGACCTTAAAGATAGACATGAGCCAGCTGTGGTGGTACAGTTCTATAATCCTAGTACTCTGGGAGTCTGAGGCAGAAGGAGCACAAGTTTGAGCCCAGCCTGACAACTTAGCAATTTAGTAAGACCCTATCTCAAGATTAAATAAAGGGCTGTGGGGTGTAGTTCAGTGTGAAGGCCCTGGTTCAATTCCCAGTTCTGAAAAAAAAAAAAAAAGGGTGACTTTCTACCAGTAGTCCTGTGTGTATATAACCCATCATTACATGGAAGTAATGACTCCTAGACTAACCACACTGAGAGGGAGCTTTACTGGACTGGGCTCTATGGGGTTCTGTGTTTTATAAATGGTTTTGAACAAGAAGAAGCTGTCTCTGAGGTCTGTTAGCCTAACCTACACTCCCATGGACCTGCCGAGGGAGTGTGGATTGAGTTCTGGGTGGCCAGGGTGTCAGACTGTAGTGTCACAGTTAGCGGTAACCTGGTATGCGTGGACTTTGAGAAGACTCATAGGTCATGTGTTGATGTTACCATGGCAGGACACTATATGCATTTTAAATTATTTTAATGATAAAGTGGGCGAGATTGGTTTCTAAGTAGCCCTCAATTAAGCAGAGTTTGTAGGCCCGACACTCTCATTAGCTTTGGGCTGGCTTGTTTGTTTCGCATTGCCTTAACTGATAGCTGGCAAAGTTTCTGGAAAATATATTAGTGTTAAAATCCTAGAAATTATTTTTGTTCTTTGTTAGCATAGCCCATGACCATAGAAAAAGAGAGCGAATGATTATCAATGTGGTAACGTGTTGAGTAGAATCACTGAATGATGAAGAGCTCATAGCAACTAGACCTGTATTTAACATGGAAATAATTACAGCTGGGATTGCAGCAATGAAGCAATTTCTTATCTACCTGGACATGTATGGTTTGCTTAAATTGGCTAAAGGTAGTTTTAAATGAAGAATTCTGCAAATTCTCAAGGACATAGCTCTTCCTGTTGTGTCCAGTCTGCAGGGAAATGAACCTCGTGGTCATGGGGAACTTTGTTTATTCTGCTGTATTTATTCCACATAGGAGCCATGAAAAAGTATGCTGCAAGTTCTGCATACCACTGGGCTGTGTGGAGACATTTTCTTTCCCAGGGCATGGAGGATATGAGCTTGGGTTTGTGTGTTCCTTCTTCACTTTCATATCAACAACAGTTACTTCTCACAAATGAATGTGACTGCCAGTAACTCAGTGGCCCTTCAGGGACCACAACTCAGAAATGTCTATGTGCTCCCCACCAAGAACACTGCTCCAAAGGATATGCCAGATGTTGACTCGACCTCCCCAGGAGCCTCTGAAAGTTGGCCCCACAGGGACTAGGAGCTACATCCCAGAGTCACAGGGCCAGGGAAGAGCAGGATGATCTTGCCCCTCATATCAGCCAGGCAAGTAAAAGAGTTGCAGTGTGCAGAGCTTCATGTGCTAGGCAGCATTGTCCATCCAGAGAGTGGGTGTCAGAGTTCCCAGGCCACCAGCTGCCTGGACTATTGGGGTACAGCAAGAATTCTGGTTAGAGTGAAACTCTAGAACAGTGGTGGCAGACCTGAGGCATGCATGCTGCAGCAGTCTTTTTATATCATTGAAAGCTCTGAAAGCCATCACTCCCCTAGAATATGCCAGTGCCCAACTCAGTCACCCAGATGTCCTCCAAGATGGCATCTTACCCCTGTTTGTATGGTTAAAGAACATAGTGAGCCAAAATCACCAGCAAAGAGCAGTCGCACAAGGCTCTTAGATGCCAGCACCCTTGTTTTCCACAATATTAACTTGCAATGTGGAGAAAATGGCAAAATCAGTGACGTACAGGGAACTGCCATCACAGATGCAGGAAGTCAACCATGCTCATCATTCATGGCTTTTATCTGGAAATTTATATCAATTGTTGTGATAATCTCATGGCCATTCCTGAACATACGCAGAGCACCAGAAGCCATAGGCTGCCAACATGCACACTCCCAGCTGCAGTCAGCCTGGGACACAGCTTCCCTGTTCCGGCTCTCACTGTGAGCAAGGGTGGCTTCCTTGGTTGGTTTGGTGCCACACTGTTCATGTCTTTGTGCTGCCGGTGCTTCTGTATGCTGGAGCCTGGGCTCCTGCACAGGGTACTCATATATAACAGGAGCATCCTGCAAGTGGGGCTGCAGGCTGGGGACTGTGAGTTCGGTGTCAGTCACTCAACAAAGTGCATTAGATAGGATGTCCTGGAGTGGAAACCCACATAGGACGAGGTTAGGTATCGGCTGGTTGCTGAGAAAGTGCTGAGGCTGAGGGTTGAACATCATGCAGTCTTGGTGGTGTTAAGGCTGAAGCTTGTATTCATCCCTCTAAGGGCACAGGATCCCACATGGTGGACATGGAAGTTTCTGCATAATCAGGTAGAAATGAGTTGCTCCCTTGAAAAGAATGAAACCAGTGATCTGCTTTGGATCAGCCTGGACAGTGAGGCCTGAGAGGAGACTCCACAGCAGGAAGGCCAGTGCCATGAGGCAGTTCACAGCAAGGCTAGCAATGTCCCCAGGTGGACCTCACATTCCTGGGCCCCACCACAGTGTCTCTTGGTCATCAGGCCTTTCTGCCCTGCTGGTCCTTTCTCCCCTGAAGGTTAACCTCACCTGACACCCTGAACCCTGCAGACTGGGAGAGCCACTGTCTATGAGGCACTGTCTGTCACAGCCCCAGGGAAACGGTGGAGCCCAGCCTGTCCCTCTCTTTCCTCAACAAGTCATCAGGAAGATGCCAAGATTCCTGTGAGATTCCAGGCCATGCACTCCCCAGTGAGCTTCCTGAGTGGCATTTCTAGAAGGCTCCTGTGGTCCAGTCCATACCACCATTTGGTGGCCACTGACTGAAATACGATGGTTGATGATGTCCCTTGGGAGGAGTTACTTTCCCCAGCCCCAGATTAAAAGTGAATCCTTTGTGGCTATCCACCTGTAATGATTGCTACTGAAAGTGCCTGCAGCCTGGCACTGAAGGAGGGTGTTCCTGGGTGCTGGCCAGGCAGAAGGCACAGCAACCACTGTCTACCTCACCTTCTCTCCAGAGCATCTCTGGCTTTAGGAGACACATTTTGAAGATGCTTCAATCACTTATGCCTGGTATCCTTAATATCAATGCCCAGAATGTGACCACTGCTTCTGCAGAACTAGGCTCCAGCTTCTCTCCTGGCCCCGTGGGATGCTCAGAGGCATTCTGAGAAGTGAGCCAGTGCTCCCTGCCCGCTGCCTCCTACAGAGGCCTGGGGAAGATGAGAAGACTCAGGTTTCTGGTCCTCAGGACTACCAGGGTATAGAAACCCACTGGGCTCTCAGCTCCAGGCTGGCCCTGTGACATGGTGTTGAATCTCTGGAGCTCTGAGCTATGGTAGTTGTACCAGGGTTGAGTGGAGGGAAATGTGGGCATCGTGCCAGAGCTACCTCATGTTCAGAACCAGTGGTGGGTCCAAATGTGGAAAGCAGGGGGAAGGGAGCAAAAGCAATTGGGCAGTGGGTGTTGTGAAGGATGAGGCCACACTGGGATAGATGCCCTCCTTCCTGGAGTGGTGCTGGCCTCTGGGAGGATGTGAGCCTGCTGGCCTCCTGCCCCGCTAGGTGAGATACCAGCACAACTGCTGTGGCCCTGTGCTGCACAGGGGCCTGGGGGGATGCCTGGTCCAACAGGCAAGAGAGCTGGACACAGAGGCAACTCTGCTCTGCTGCATGGTGGCATAGCTTGGCTGGAATTTGGATTGCAGACCGAGAAGGACAGTGGGTGCACTGGCATTTCCAGGCGTGGGATCCTCTGGATGCATCTGATCTTAAGTGCCCAGTGGGTGATACCAGCCACTCCAAAGATTAGGGGTCCAGGTTAGATCTCAAGCCCAAGTGATGTTAGACTTCTATGAGGACTCTCCTGTAGTGACAGAGAATGGTCACAGCCTGGTGGTGGTGAGATTCTCTCTGGCAGAGGCTTGTGCCTGAGCAGTCTGAACTCCCAGAGAGGGACTGGAGGGGACACTAAGGTCTCTCAGGCAGAGATGGCAGTGGAGCCCACAAACTAAGAGATGCAGTCTGGCAGCTGTGGATGCCCCAGTGTGGAGGGCAGGGAGGGGGTGGGTAGAAACAGTTTTAGCTGGGTTTCTATACTTCAGTGGGAGCTGGAGCTGGACTCCACGGACATCTGGGGGCACTGTAGGAGCTTTAGAAGTCAGGACTTCCTCTCCAGCCTCTGCATACCAGCTGGCTCCTTCGCCAGCTCTTGTTCTCAGGTGGGTTAACAGGAGTCTGAGGGACATTCTGAGGATGGTGCCTGTGGAGGTGGTCCCAGCTTTTACACTGGGTTCCCCATCTGTCCACAGCTGGTATGTGCCTGGCATCCAGTCCTTCAGACACAGAGGTCTTCAGATGATGTCATTTCTTAAAATCACTTTGAACATGGTGTTTAGAAAGTATCCAACAGTTTTGATAATTGCTGTCGAGCTATTCCCCATTGGGCATTTTTACATGGAGCAGTGGTGGCTTTTAAAGGGCTCCTATCATAAGCAGTTTGAAAACCTTGTCTCCCTCCTTCTTGATCTAACTCTTGGTGCCCTCTTGGGAGCTCAGGACAAGGCTTAGGTCCATGCAGTGTTTTCTGTTCCCTTGGGGGAGTGTTGGGTCCTAGCATGGAGAATTGCTGTAGGTGGAAACAATCACACTTCAAAGCTAAATAGCCCAGGGTTGGGGTGGAGGTTTTAAATGCAGCACAGTGCCTCAGATGTGCTTTCACTTGTTGGGGTTTGCTGGGAAGCTTTCAGATGGCCCCTATGGTGACTTGATAATGACCTCTTTCTGAATGGTCTCTTCCAGTGTCCTGGGGCCAGCAGTGACCTTCAAAGTGAGTGCCAATGTCCGAAATGTGACAACTGCAGATGTTGCGAGGGCCACAGGTAAGGCTGTTTCCACATGCATGTGTGCACCCCACACAGTCTAGACAGAGACATGGCCATCAGAGCCAGTGCCACCTGGGCCACATTGCTTGGGTTTCTGCCACATGCAAGATACCAACCTTCTGATGGGAGAGGAAACCTCAGCACTGCATTTGAGAGGCTTGGAGACACAAGAGTTGGTGTGCACAGTGCCCAGTGTGAACAGAGATGTGTGACTTGGTTTGAGTCTTTAAGGTTGTGTCATGCAGAGGTCCCTCCATGTCTTCTGTTCCTGCAGGCAAGGGCTGAGTGCAGGCACCAAGTGCAGGCTTTGTCTGGGTGAACATGTTGGTTTTCTGACAGATCCCAAGTTCCTGGTGTTCCTGAGACCTGGGCCCTGATGGAATGGGAGTGACCTTGGCCACATGATCGGTGTTGCCATGGAGTAGAAAATCACAAGTTGCCACTCACTAGCACTTTGAAGAGCAAGAAGGGGTAGAGGACATACTTTTGCATTTCCTACATACATTGTCTTGGGGATAGAGTAATCTTGTAGAATGTGCTGTATAATCTAAGAAGAGCAATCAGAAGAGCCTTAGCTCTGGTATTCTGGGGTGATTTGGCAGGAGGGACGCTTCATACTGTGTGATCATTTATGAGAGGCCATCCTGAGGGTGCTGTCCGGTTAGGGCAAAACACAATTCTGTTTCAGTCATCCCTAAATATGGGAGCAAAATATGGGAGTTATTGTTTACTGAAATTTAATTTTTGTTTTTTCAATGGTGAATGCAGGACAATGTTCCAGCTGATTTAGAGAGCTGGTCTTTAGTTTCTGTGCATGTATGAGGCCTCGATGCAAGGACGTCCTGTTGATGCAGTTTCTTCACTGGTGGTGGACAACACAACATGTAGGAGCTGCTGTCCCAAAGTAAGCAAATCGTCAGCTCCTCTGCGTTGGTTGCTGTTGGGTGTGCTCATAGGAGTCTTTATGCTCTTAGCAAAACTTACTTCCTGAAGGTAGTTATTGGAGCACTAAGAGATTTTGATTAGGAAAAGATTCTTTGCAAAGTTGTGCCAAATCCAGAGGTCTGAGGGACATGGGCTTTGTAGAGAGCTAGATCCCCAGCCTCACTCTGTCACCACGCTTTGTCAGGAGGTGTGTGGAGCTGGAACATGACATGGCAGGGTAAAGTATCCTCACACAGCAGAACAGCTTCCTGTGGCCCAGAGAGGCAAGAGGGAGCCCAGAGATGTTGTTTCAAACATGTTGCCACTTTAAGAGGGGGACTGGGCTGTGACAGCTGAGGCCCCTCTGTCCTCAGCTGCCTCGGGGTGCACACATGCATGGTCCTCATCAGAAGTGGTGGCTGACCCATATAAGACCAGTCCATTGTCAGGTTTGTATGCAGGAACACACCCTTGACTATTCCATGCTTGGCAGTTCACCCCAGGACCGGGAAGTAATTCATTTGAAATTGGATTTGCTGGAACTTAAGGAGGCTGTGAGTGGAATAAAATGGAATGCAATGCAGTCTTTTTATCTTTTTTTTTAATCATGACAATATACTCACAGACAATGTCCTTTCATTTATTTTATTGCTTTCAAGGGAAAATGAGTTTGATTATTTGAAATCTAGTTTCTGGGTCGTTTCAAATGTGTTCATGTCATGCACTAATGTGTTGTACCAAGGGAGAAATTACGTATCAAATGGATGTTTGAGTCTCATATCAACAACTCTCTGAATGCTCGATTTCCTAACTTACTCCAGTGCATTTATATTAACTGCTAGAGCTGTGCAAGCCACATTGTTTCCTGCTTGTTGTACACATGCAAAGTTGTTAACATCCATGCATAATTTATAAAAACATTCACTCCTTTCATATTTCAAGTAATGTTATAGTATTACAAGTGTAGTGGATTCTGTACAGGGAAAAGATTATACAACATAAACATGAGAGCATAAGAATCTTAGAGTCTGGCAGCAGAAACGTCAAGGGTAGTGGGTACCTAGTCAGTGTCTGCCAGAGGACATTGGTGTCCTAGAGTGTGGTAACCCCTCACCAAGTAGCAACCCTATGTGAAAAGTGACTAGAAAGTTTAGACCCAAAAAGAATTTCTTGTGGGGTCTAGGTTTAAAAGATTGCATTGACTTTTGCTAGCATCAGGGCAAGTTGTGTGCTTTGGAAAGACATAAGTGTCCTGCCTCCTGGACCATCAACATTCAGAGCCTGTTGGGGCTTTTGCTGACATGACAGGGATGTCACAGATTGCCTGAAAGGCCAAAGGCTATGGTTGGTATTCGGTGCAGGATGTTACAACAGTCTGGACATCTTTTGTTATTAATGAAGGGAGAGGTAACCCTGGCAACAGAATTTAAGGGGCATTTATTTTACAAATTTACACAGAATGATAGGAAACAATGACAGGCATATAACTGATGCCATATCAGTTCCCATCAATGCATAAACCATGTGGGGTTTATGCTGAATGGCAAGAGCAGCTCGCTTTCACTGTGCAAGGAAGACTTTGTCCTAGGTGATCCTTTTCTGGAATTCTGCCTGATTTCTGAATTTGGGTGTAAACATGAGGAACAAGAGCATATTAAGATGAGAGGGCCTGTGCAGGAGATTTGATTTGTCCAAGGAGCCAACATGGCATACACAGGAGTGACCAGTGGTATATTTGGTCCCGTGGCCCATATCATTCAGTCACACAGGCCAGAACAGAGAGATTCTTTTCTTTCTCTTGTATCTTTGAGGGTTGTTCTTAAATAGCAAATTTCTTTCCTTTGTCTTTTTTATTTTTTTATTTTTATTTTTTTGGTACCAGGGATTGGACTTGGGCTCTTGCGCTTGTGAGGTGCACAATGGAACCACTGAGCCAAATCTCTGGCTCCCAAAATAGCAAATTTTTAATCAATTTTTGCATTTATCTTCAAAGAAAATATAGCCAATCATCTTTTAGAAGGAAGTGTTTGTGTTTGCTCCCCTCCTTCTCTGAGGAGACCCCACTTGATAACCCTTAGACCCTGTGATTTGCTGCCAGGAGTCATTTTGCATCTCCCACATGTCCTGAGATCAGGCCCTTTCACAGACACTCCTCTCCTGGGTTTGCAGCATGTGGTGTTTCTTTGGTGTGTTTGACTCTGGGAGCTGTCTGTCCCCAGGCATCTGTCCCTTCCCTCTGGTCTCAGTGACCCATCCAACTCAGGTGATGGAAGCCTCTGAGGCCTGGCTTGTGGAGTTGCTGTATTCATGTCAGGTAGCAGACATCTCCTCTGCAGGGTCTGGCAATTTGGCGTAGAGCTTGGCTCACAGTGGGTCCGACTTCTTGGGCTCAGTCCTTGTAGCTGAGCATCCCAGTGAGGTGAGCAAATCCCCGACTCCTTCTTCTTGGATGGTGGCTCCTGATGTGCTGTCTGCAAGAAGAGAGGCCTCCTCTCTCCGGAGACTCCCTCAAATGCTGGCCTAGCACTGGACTGTAGCCGAGCTGCCTGGACCACACAGCTCCATGCACCCAAACCAAGAGAGAGTTCAGTTCACACTGGCTGGCACTAGGGCTCCCCATCCCTAATTATTTGGAAGAAAAGTGAAATGAGTCCTGGTGCCCACACTCAGGTATTCAGTCTCCACTGCAGGTCCCTGGTGTTCAGGTGCTCTTTTGGTGAGCATCTTGTACCTCTTGGGTGTCATAACCTGGGAAACAGCCTGCCTTGGGAAGCCCAGCCTAGACAACGCTGTAGAAGCCATGGGGGATGAGCAGTCTAGGAGGCGAGAGCATGCCCAAGAATCAAGCATCTCCAGAAATGCTGGCTTAGGCAGACTAGAGGACCAGAGTGGATCTCAGGGGGCCACCAGTGAGAAGGAGGAGCCTAACATGACAGGGCATTCACGGACAGGGTCTCCAGGATTGAGTCAAAGGGGTTTTGCAGCATGGGAACTCTGCTTCTCTGTGGCTGGCAGAGTCAGGAGGGCTGGGCCAGTGGCCCACACTGCCATCTGAGTTTGGCATGGGGTGGGAGAACTTTCTGTCATATGTGTCCATGAGCAGTGTGAGCTCTCCCTCTTCTTACATGGCCAGCTTGCCTCAAGTCCGCTGTGTGGCTATACCAGTCACTCCCTCATGAAGCTGTGCACACATCACCAACTACCATGTCTCAAAACATGCTCTCTTCATCTCCATTGCCAACCTGAGACAGAGGAGATGAAGAACCTAGTGAGCTAAGGCTGTGGCAAGATAGCTGCATGTTTTAGTGCAAAACAAGACGCTGCCTTGGAAGAGCTCACAAAAGAGGCCACTGACCAAGAACATTTGTGTTCACATAAGGGTAGCTGAGTTAGAGCAAAACTCCCAGGGACTGCAATCTTCTTCGAGACAAAGGGGAGCAGGAGCCCCGGACAGCACAGCAGGGCACAGCAGAGACTGTGACAGCTTCATCAGGCCTCCATGGAAGGCCCTACCTCCGGCATCAGGGCTGGGCTTTGGGACTTCTGTTGGCCCTTCAGCTCAGGGAAAGCACAGGTTGGGATCCTGCAGAGTCACTGGCCCAGGTCTGGTGTGACAGTGAGGGCAGTGCGAGAAGGAGAGCATGTGCTCAGGCACCCATCCACCTCTGAATGCTGAGCAGAGCTATGAGGAATGGAAAGGAGAACCATGAGAGGGACAGAGAGGCAGAGGGAGATGGAAGATGCCCACACTGGGGCTCCAGGGAGTAGCCAGAGTGAGGGACCAGGCTCCCAGATGAAGCCTTGTGCCAGTGAGATGCCCACATGGGAAGCAGAGTCGGGAGCGGAACCCATAAGACACAACTTTAAAATAAAAAAAACAACTATTTTTCAGTTCCAACTTCTGTATTGATTATTACTTGGAGGCAGAGTTTACTCTCTTTCTTGAACAAATTGACAAATTATAAGCTTCAAAAGCAAAGTATTGAAAAGAGTCCTCTTACCACTTTGAACATCTAGGCAGTATGACTCAGGCTCTTAAGGGCATCTGTGCAGTGACACACAGGGTGTATTCC